CCACACCTGTCCGCCCGCGGTCTCACACCGCCACACCTGTCCGCCCGCGCTCTCACACTGCCACACCTGTCCGCCCGTGATCTGCTACATAGAGAATGATAAGGGAAGAGAACTATCAGGAGAAAGCGCCAAGCCATTAGACTATATATCACTGGGAAGGGGCCAGGATAAGGATCTGGGATAGGACGTGTGGGGGGGGGGGTGAGAAGAAGAAGGAATGGTGCCCAACCACTTGGACGGTCGGGGATTGAACGCCGACCTGCATGAAGCGAGACCGTCGCTCTACCGTCCACCCCCAAGAGATTGGACACAGAGAATGATAAGAAAGTGCGCGAAAGACTCAACCAAAGGCTTATTTCCCCCCCCCAGACTCTTATTAAATTAATAGTACATAAAAAGCGACTTACTGGCGATCCATCACTACATATCGGTGCTTTCCATCCAAAATTACTATTCAAACCCATCCTCTCACGAGGATGGGTTGGGAGGCTTGTTAAGCTAGTCGAAGGAGGGTTGGTGGGGGGGGGGAGGGGTATCTTTCAGAACCCACAACAACCCAGCTGTTCCAGCAATTCCTGCAGGAACTTGTCCAGTTTCCTATAGAAACTGGACACGTCAACTAGGGTGCAGCCTCTACGCCTCTATGTTGTTGTTGTTGTTAAAGATTCGCTACCTGGAACAAGCAGTTCCAAGTAGCACGGGCTATGGCGATCCCGTGCTACGCCTCTACCTACGCCTGCATAAACCCGCAGGCATCCCCCTGCAAGTCGCGGACGCGCTAACCAACTTGGCAGACATGGTCTACGACACGCCACACACACACACACACACACACACACACACACACACACACACACACACACACACACACACACACACACACACACACACACACACACACACAGGGGGGGGGGATGTTTCGCTCCCCCAGTCAGTGCACACAGACAGGCAAGACCAAAGAACTGAAGGCCAGCCTCTGCCGGCACAACTGGGCTACAACAATTAAGTAAGCACAGCGCACATGCACACAGAGAGACAAAGATGGCGGAGAGTTGTGCAACTCTGTGACCCAACTAAGACAGACACTATATTTATCTCTCCCAGGCTACCCCACTTCCCCTCCTGGCCCACGCTCGGCCGCTCTCCACACATATATTACTCTACTGTAGAGTACATTGTACTACTGTATTACTCTACTGTACTACTGTCTTTACTGAACTACTGTGTTACTCTACTGGGTGTCAAATTGCACACTCCGGCCAACTGCCATGAGATCTACACACACACACAGCTTCCTGGGTTGGGTGCATATGTTATATATTCACTACGGTTATTACTCACTGTTGTTCTAATTCATAATAAAATTTACATTGTTATTATTATTATTATTATCTGTACTGTTACTGGTGCTTCAGTCTTGCTGAGGACACTAATTAGAGGTTAATTATATTTCTGGAGAACTACCTTTGTGATGGTTTCGGGGCTTAGCATCCCCCGCGGTCCGGTTCTCATGTGTCTGTTCATTTAAGGGTACTTCCTGGTCTTCTCGCTGATATAACTGTATTAGCCAGGTGCTTCCATTTCAGGTGTCGTAGGTTGAAGTCCCCTCAAGCAGGATGATGTTTGGGGCTGGATTTGTGAGGTTTTCCAAGCAGTGTTCTATTTTTTCATGAGTTGGTCTTGAAACTACTGAGGATTTGCCTACGGTGACTTATATACAAGGACAATAACTACATTTAAGATCTTTATTTTGATTATCAGCACTTCCACCATATGATTTGTGGTGTTAAGTAGCTCAGTACAGATGAGTGTGTCTTTGATGTAGAGGCTGACCCCACCCTGTAGCCGGTGTTTCCTGTCACATCTGAACAGATTGTAGATTGACGGGGGAGAGTGGTGGTGGCGGGAGACCACAGACTGGGGAGTGCTGACGGGCAGACACCGCATCCCAACAGATACAATCTTGTGACCAAGACACACACACACACACACACACACACACACACACACACACACACACACACACACACACACACACACACACACACACACACACACCAGGCTACCTAGGGGGGCCTGGTAGCCTGGTGGATAGCGCGCAGGTCTCATAATTCTGTGGCGCGGGTTCGATTCCCGCACCAGGCAGAAACAAATGGGCAAAGTTTCGTTCACCCTGAATGCCCCTGTTACCTAGCAATAAATAGGTACCTGGGAATTAGTCAGCTGTCACAGGCTGCTTCCTGAGGTGTGCGTGTGGCGTGGAGAAAAAAAAAGAAGTAGTAGTAGAAACAGTTGATTGACAGTTGAGAGGCGGGCCGAAAGAGCAGAGCTTAACCCCCGCAAGCACAACTAGGTGACTACACACCTCTAGTACCCACACCAGCACACCACCCACACCTACACCACCCACACCTACACCACCCACACCTACACCACCCACACCTACACCACCCACACCTACGCTAACAGGCGGAGGGTCTCACCTAGACAGTCTTCATTCTAACTAGTTGTATTTGTAGTGCGGACAAGAGACCTTACGACACAGCTGGGGTGCGTGGCTGCCTTACGACACAGCTGGGGTGTGTGGCTGCCTTACGACACAGCTGGGGTGCGTGGCTGCCTTACGACACAGCTGGGGTGTGTGGCTGCCTTACGACACAGCTGGGGTGCGTGGCTGCCTTACGACACAGCTGGGGTGCGTGGCTGCCTTACGACACAGCTGGGGTGCGTGGCTGCCTTACGACACAGCTGGGGTGCGTGGCTGCCTTACGACACAGCTGGGGTGCGTGGCTGCCTTACGACACAGCTGGGGTGCGTGGCTGCCTTACGACACAGCTGGGGTGTGTGGCTGCCTTACGACACAGCTGGGGTGCGTGGCTGCCTTACGACACAGCTGGGGTGTGTGGCTGCCTTACGACACAGCTGGGGTGCGTGGCTGCCTTACGACACAGCTGGGGTGTGTGGCTGCCTTACGACACAGCTGGGGTGCGTGGCTGCCTTACGACACAGCTGGGGTGCGTGGCTGCCTTACGACACAGCTGGGGTGTGTGGCTGCCTTACGACACAGCTGGGGTGCGTGGCTGCCTTACGACACAGCTGGGGTGCGTGGCTGCCTTACGACACAGCTGGGGTGCGTGGCTGCCTTACGACACAGCTGGGGTGCGTGGCTGCCTTACGACACAGCTGGGGTGGGATGAGGTAAGCACCACATATAGGGAAGAACACGTGAACTTCAAGGAAGAAGATCATTTGGGAAGAAGAACATGGCGAGAACAAGCGGGAACCGAAATATCGGAGTTTTCACGATGGACACTACCAGTACTAACCTCCTTACCTTACCTTACCTTGAGGTTACCTTGAGGTGCTTCCGGGGCTTAGTGTCCCCGCGGCCCGGTCGTCGACCAGTCCTCCTGGTTGCTGCCTCCTCCCCCACAACCTCTCCCCCCACAGTCACTCCCCTCACTACAACCTCTCTCCTCCCTCAGTCTGCCTACCTACCTATCTACCTACCTTGTGGAGGTTCCGAGAATAAAAGGCCCCGGCCCCGCTCCTGTGCCAGGTAAGTTACGGGCTCACCATAGCCCGTGCTACTTGCCCCGCTCCTGTGCCAAGTAAGTTACGGGCTCACCATAGCCCGTGCTACTTGCCCCGCTCCTGTGCCAAGTAAGTTACGGGCTCACCATAGCCCGTGCTACTTGCCCCGCTCCTGTGCCAGGTAAGTCCACTACGGGCTCACCATAGCCCGTGCTACTTGCCCCGCTCCTGTGCCAGGTAAGTCCACTACGGGCTCACCATAGCCCGTGCTACTTGGAACTTGACCAGAGTAGCTGAATCAATAACAACAACAACAACGGTCTCCGACCAGATCTCCCGGTTGGTCGTCTGGTCAACTCAGGCTGTTGGACGCGGCTGTTTGCAGCCTGACGTGTGAATCACAGCCTGGTTGATCAGGTATCCTTTGGAGGGGTTTATCGAGTTCTCTCTTGAACACCGTGAGGGACCGGCTAGTCTTCCTCATAACCTCATCCCTAACCCCACAACCTCTCTCTCCCCCAATTTTAAAAGTGACGTAAGATATCAATCATCTTAACAGGTGAGGTAACCTGCGCTTAATTGAGAAATAACACCCCCCCACCCCCCACCCCTCCCTACCCCACGACTGGCTAGACAATTCTCCGTGTAAAGCGGTGACCAGTGATTGGCTGAGGACAGGGGGGGGGAGGGTGAACCGCACAGTGAGGAAAAGTCTTGAAGTATGGCGACCGGTTAGCGAAGGTGGGGGGGGGGGGGGCAGGGGGCACAATCTTAGACGGTGGAGCCCCACCATGGGCTGACAGGGGCGAGGACAGGAGGGGGAGGGAAGGGGGGGGGGGGAAGCGGACATAACTTTTGTCTGCCAACCTCTTGGGAAATGTATTCAATCATTGGGGGGAGGGATTTCTGGCCAGTAATTCCCAGATGAAATACTGACCAGAAATCTCTCCCTCTATAATTTAATACAAAAAAAAAATGGCATTAAATTGCAGTTTTATTGTAATTTCTTAATTGCATATATAAAGTAAATTGAGAGTAATTAATACAGGTGATGAAACACAACGTCGAAGGCCTCTGGAAATGTAACTTCACCAGGGGTGTTGACCGGGACAGCAACGTGGCGCCTAAGGACGGTACAACGGTACTCTCCTCAGTCCCTGAAATTGTATTTTCCACCAGATATTTCATGCTCCAGTGTCATTATCACTCTCCCGGGATAATTAGGCACTGTAAATGTGTGTAAACTAACCTAACTGTAAGTGTACACAACACATATGGTACAAACGTGTTTTTTTCGTTTGCTTTGTATAAAAACAAAACACCAGTATGGAGGGTATCCCCAGGGTGCCCTCGGTACCCCTAGGTGCCCCTAGGTGTTCCCAAGGACTCCCAGGTGCTCCCAGGTACTCCCAGGTACTCCCAGGCACCCCCCATGTGCCCTCCCACAGGTTTCCCCAGGTACGTACCTCTGGCGGGGCTGCGAGGCGAGGCTGGTGGGTTCTCGTCGCTGACGGAGGAGGAGTAGGAGGAGCGCTGGTCGCCGGCGCTATACACGCCGGAGCTGAAGGAAGAGCCGGAGTGCCTGTGGGTGACCCCGGAGTCTGGCACTGTGGGCGGCGACACCTTCACCGCCGCCGCGGGCTTCCCACGCCCACTCATCCCGCCCACTGCAAACAAAATGAAGACGTTGATTAATTGCTGCTTTGTTGCAGTAAAGGACATATTGTTTACTCTTTGCTTAATTACGAGGGCCAGGAGTCACCAAGTATCGACGCATCCACGAAACCTGTACATCTTCCCTGAAACAAACGGTTTACGAGCTCCGGAGCACTACGAGGTTGTATCTTATAATAACCTTGTGGTTGTAACGTTTCCAAGCTCGGAAACTATTTAATACATGTCACAACAGGGCTGCCATGGTCAAGAAATGATGTAAAGGTTTCGCGAGTGGTTGCGTAAGAGCTTAATGAACACTGGGCCAGGAGCACCGCAAACAAGAGATGGTGTTTATTGTTTATGCCCGAGGGGGGGCCGCGAGCACGCTGCACATACACAGCTTTATTTGTACTTGTGAGATAGAGTATTGCCAGAGGTTTGTATGTTTACCGTTGTGCACTTGGGGGCGCTGTGAGCAGCCAGAAGCGTATCACCTTCCCTCCTCAGCATACCCTTAGATGACTTGCTAATTTCCCCCCTCCCCACTCAATTACTTGAGCTGGACGGTAGAGCGACGGTCTCGCTTCATGCAGGTAGGCGGCGTTCAATTCCCGATCGTCCAGAAGTGGTTGGGCACCATTCCTTCCTTCCCCCGTCCTATCCCCAAATCCTTATCCTGACTCCTTCCCAGTGCTATATAGCCGTAATGGCTTGGCGCTTTCCCCTGAAAACTCTCCCCCCCCTCCCCCCCATTATGATTGACAAGAGGGAACCCGGTGGGTATTAATGAGCAGCGTCGCTTCGACGCTGAATCAACGACGCTAATTCAACGTTTGAATCAACGTTGATGTTGATTCAGCGCCCGTTCCTGGATATTGTACCCACTGAGTAGTGAAATGTGCGTCACACTCTTTGTAGTTCCCCCCCCCCCTCCACAACAGCACTCTGCAACTCTACTGATTGATTGAGTGATAAAGATTAAGCCACTCACAAGAGGTGGCACGGGCATGAATAGCCCATAAACACCACTAGTCTTCACCCAGGCTATTTTACACTTCCCCCTCACCCTCTTCCAAGCCCTCCTGCCAGAAATTATTTACGTGAAGATCTATGACCAATCGCTAGAGTATTTCCTTAATGTAAATTAAGAATTATTTCTCTCCGGCGTCACGGGAAGGTTGAGGGAGTTTAGATGTCCTCAAGAGCAGCACTATACAACTTGAGGGACTTTAGGCAAAGGGCTTCTCATCCTGAACAAATCCACAAGGGCCGTGACGAGGATTCGAACCTACCTACGTCCGAGAGCATCCCAGACGCTGCCTTAATCGACTCAGCTACGACATGGTAAAAAGAATTGCAAATCCAAATGAATATTTGTTCATTTGATACATCAAATGGGAGCCGGTCGGCCGAGCGGACAGCACGCTGGACTTGTGATCCTGTGGTCCTGGGTTCGATCCCAGGCGCCGGCGAGAAACAATGGGCAGAGTTTCTTTTACCCTATGCCCCTGTTACCTAGCAGTAAAATAGGTACCTGGGTGTCAGCTGTCACGGGCTGCTTCCTGGGGGTGGAGGCCTGGTCGAAGACCGGGCCGCGGGGACACTAAAAGCCCCGAAATCATCTCAAGATAACCTCAAGATACATCACGTTGTTGTGATTTCTGTCTGGCTTCTCATCCTGCTTTGTTGCCTTTCACTCTTTGGGTCCGGGCGATGTATTACGAAGTTCAAGATCCATCACTTTTGCAGTTTATTATTTTTGTTCCATTTACATTAGATGTGTCGCATTCAGGTACGCCATGGGCATATTTTTTAAAGGCCTTTGCAAAGTCTGTGCACATTAAATAAATTGCCACTCCAGACCGACAACCAGAGCGCAACTCCATAGTCTCCTGAGGCTGATGGATGCCTACTTTTACTTTGCTTATCTTGCAGTACACCCAAGACCACCTTCAGGCGGTCTAGTACACCCCAAGATCACCTTGAGGCGGTCTAGTACACCCCAAGATCACCTTGAGGCGGTCCAGTACACCCCAAGATCACCTTGAGGCGGTCCAGTACACCCCAAGATCACCTTGAGGCGGTCCAGTACACCCCAAGATCACCTTGAGGCGGTCCAGTACACCCCAAGATCACCTTGAGGCGGTTTAGTACACCCCAAGATCACCTTGAGGCGGTCCAGTACACCCCCCAAGACCATCCCGAAGAGATCAAGCAATTGCTAAAAGTAGGATGCTAAAATCTGATTTGTTGCAAAAGATTTTAACCTTGACAAATATTATAAAATTATAATTTGATTTTATAAATTTTGACCCGAAGGGCGAGTTTACAGGGTGAGTTTACAGGGCAGCGTCACGAATCCTGCGAGTGAAGCCCACAGCATGCGTATCACCCCACCTCCCTCCCCCCCGTAATGAGAGGAGAAACCCCGCTGGAAGTGTTCAGGCTGCGACTGAACACACACACACACCGCCACAACCTGTACAAATTGTACATCACCCCCCTCCCCCCTCCCCTTCCTACAATGGGTTGTTCATCCCCGTCAACTGTACCCAGACGTGCGGTCATGTTTCATATTCACGTGTCAATCTCCTTTTTTCGGGGGGTGGGGGGGGGGGGGGTCGGCGATGCTTTGCCGCCACCTTTGTAAAGACGGTCTAATTCCGCGGTAAACATGAACAAAACAAAAACACAAAAATCTATTTCGTCTACCACAGAAACTCGACGTTTTTGGGGGACCGGATTTATTTTGAGGGGGACCGGATCTATTTTGAGGGGGACCGGATCTATTTTGAGGGGGACCGGATCTATTTTGAGGGGGACCGGATCTATTTTGAGGGGGACCGGATCTATTTTGAGGGGGACCGGATCTATTTTGAGGGGGACCGGATCTATTTTGAGGGGGACCGGATCTATTTTGAGGGGGACCGGATTTATTTTGAGGGGGACCGGATCTATTTTGAGGGGGACCGGATCTATTTTGAGGGGGACCGGATCTATTTTGGGGGGACCGGATCTATTTTGAGGGGGACCGGATCTATTTTGGGGGGACCGGATCTATTTTGAGGGGGACCGGATCTATTTTGGGGGGACCGGATCTATTTTGAGGGGGACCGGATCTATTTTGGGGGGGAACGGATCTATTTTGAGGGGGACCGGATCTATTTTGGGGGGACCGGATCTATTTTGAGGGGGACCGGATCTATTTTGGGGGGACCGGATCTATTTTGAGGGGGACCGGATCTATTTTGGGGGGACCGGATCTATTTTGAGGGGGACCGGATCTATTTTGGGGGGACCGGATCTATTTTGAGGGGGACCGGATCTATTTTGGGGGGACCGGATCTATTTTGAGGGGGACCGGATCTATTTTGGGGGGGAACGGATCTATTTTGAGGGGGACCGGATCTATTTTGGGGGGACCGGATCTATTTTGAGGGGGACTGGATCTATTTTGGGGGGACCGGATCTATTTTGAGGGGGACCGGATCTATTTTGGGGGGACCGGATGTTCCCAAGAACTAAAGATCAGTCCCCCCGAAAATACAGGTAGCTTAATCCTAGGCGAGATTATACGGTCGTGTACACAGCATGTACACGTACACAAAGGGTTGTGTATAGCCTCTCCTGGTCTCCGCCGACAGCATCACCACCACTACACCACCACCATAATCACCACATCACCACTACACCATGACGGTGGTGTAGTGGTGGTGGTGGTTCACTACCACCCACTGGCTGGGCTACACATAAACAATCACCATTGCCTAACTAAGAGAAGAAATTAGAAACAGAGCAATGCAGAGCAATGATGTACAGTGACCACAACACAGCAGTTGCAACATCAGGATCTGCGGGTTGGTACAAGAATTCAACCAACTACGAACCACTTAGTTTGATGAAAGGGAGCAGTAGAGCAACAGAAGTACACTTACATCGCATCAGGCTTGGATACCCATGTGGATGGGAAATAGGCTTACAGGTTCCGGAAGATGAGAGGAAATGTCAGCACTGTGGAGAAATGCCCGACACACCACTGGAACATTATATAACACAGTGCACAGTTACAACCACAACAGACCACTGGAACATTATCTAACACAGTGCACAGTTACAACCACAACAGACCACTGGAACATTATCAAACACAGTGCACAGTTACAACCACAACAGACCACTGGAACATTATCTAACACAGTGCACAGTTACAACCACAACAGACCACTGGAACATTATCTAACACAGTGCACAGTTACAGCCACAACAGACCACTGCAACATTATCTAACACAGTGCACAGTTACAACCACAACAGACCACTGGAACATTATCTAACACAGTGCACAGTTACAAGCCACAACAGACCACTGGAACATTATCTAACACAGTGCACAGTTACAGCCACAACAGACCACTGGAACATTATCTAACACAGTGCACAGTTACAGCCACAACAGACCACTGGAACATTATCTAACACAGTGCACAGTTACAACCACAACAGACCACTGGAACATTATCTAACACAGTGCACAGTTACAACCACAACAGACCACTGGAACATTATCTAACACAGTGCACAGTTACAACCACAACAGACCACTGGAACATTATCTAACACAGTGCACAGTTACAGCCACAACAGACCACTGGAACATTATCTAACACAGTGCACAGTTACAGCCACAACAGACCACTGGAACATTATCTAACACAGTGCACAGTTACAAACCCATTAAGATTTCAACTTAGATTCAACAGAGCAGAAGAAGTTGTTAAACACATATGGCAAAATCTTACTGAAGCGACCATACGAGTCATAAATACTCATACTCCGCCCAAGTAAAACAGAAACAAGCAACACTTAGTGGGCCAGCCAGAGGCTTAGGGCCCGCCCAGTGGGCCAGCCAGAGGCTTAGGGCCCGCCCAGTGGGCCAGCCAGAGGCTTAGGGCCCGCCCAGTGGGCCAGCCAGAGGCTTAGGGCCCGCCCAGTGGGCCAGCCAGAGGCTTAG